AAAAAAAAAAAAAAAACAACAAAGACCGGGAGTCCTTAGAGACATGGATTAAAAACAAAAAAAACTACAAATAGAAAAAAACATAAATATTATTTTATTTCTTTTTTTAACAAGAAAAGAGCTTCATCATATTACCACACAAAAAGGAGGGAGGCCAGGAATCCCTCCACAAACCACCCCGGCGCAAGGATGACCCGCATTTACTCGATAAATGGTGCAATTTTTTTTCTTTATAAACAACCAAAAAGCATTTTTTTCCCTTTAAAAACAACCAAAAAAAAAAAAAAAATCTTTAAAAACAACCAAAAAGACCAGAGAGAAACATACAATCAGAGACAATGGTGACACGCAACGAACCTAGCCGCCATGAGGCTCAGTGGTACACGCATGGAAACGAGTTCGCGTGTTAGTAAACAGAAAGATCACGAGTTCGAATCCTGATCAATACAAAGCGCTAAACGCAAAGGAATTTACAGAAAAGGGCAAAATAGACAGAGCAAGAAGGGAGAGGGGAGAGAAAGGGAAGAAGGAGGAGGAGAGAAGAGACAGGGAATGCAAACGATAAACCCTAAAAATTATGAAAACCAGGAGCGGGGAGAGAAAGGGAAAAGGCCCAAAGGTCGGACGACAAAATGGTGTCTCAGAGAGAGACAGACACAGAGAGAGAGAGACACAGAGAGAGAGACAGAGAGAGAGAGAGAGAGAAAGAGGGAGAGAGAGAGAAGATGAAATCAACGAGAAGACGGGAAAGAGCAAACGACAGCCGTACGAGACCAGAGAGAAAAAGGAAGATCAAGTGTAGTATCTGTTCTGATCAGTTTAATATCTGATCCGTGGTCCATCGGACCACAAAAAAAAAAAAAAAAGGAAGGAGAAGAACGGAGGGAGAACGGAGGGAAAAGGGGCACGAGGAGAAGATGAAATCCAAGTCAGGATGAGAAACAGAAAAAAGCGAGGAGAGGCCAGAGAGAAAAAGGAAGGAAAAAGGGAGAGAGGGGAAGAGGGGAAGAGACGGAGAGACGGGAAGAGGGAGAGAGGGAGAGGGAGAGAGGGAGAGGAAGAGGGGAAGAGAGGGAGAGGAGGAGAGAGGGAGAGAGGGAGAGAGGGAGAGGAGGAGAGAGGGAGAGAGGGAGAGAGGGAGAGAGGGAGAGAGAGGAGTCGTAAACCCTAGAGTATTAGTAATTTGGCATTGTGGAACCCTAAGATGGAGAAGAGCGAGAGAGGAGAAAAGGAGAGGGAGAGGGGGAGAGGAGAGAGGGAGAGAGGAGAGGGAGGCAGGTCGAGAGAGAGAGAGAGGGAGAGAGGAGACACGAGAGAGGGAGGCCAGTCGAGAGAGAGAGAGAGAGAGGAGGAGGAGGAGGGGGAAAAAGACGGAGAGAGAGTTGCACAAGGCAAGGGAAACCAGAAAAGGCGAAAACCGATGACAGGATGAGCCCTCTCTCTCTCTCTCTCTCTCTCTCTCTCTCTCTCTCTCTCTCTCTCTCTCTCTCTCTCTCTCTCTCTCTCTCACACTCACACACACACACACAAACAAAAAAAAAAAAAAAAAAAAAAACAGAAATGAACAACTCATTAACACTACCAGGAGAAAGTAAAAAGTGCGACAGTGAAAATCCAGGAAGAGCCGTACGAGGTCACAAAAAAACGAAACGAGAAACGGAGAGAGGCCAGAAGACGGGAAGAGAGAACGAAAAGAGAGAGAGAGAGAGGAGGAGGAAGAAGAGGAGGAGGAGGAGGAGGAGGAGGAGGAGGGCATCACAAACCCACACGCATGAACCCAAAGACAGAGTACAACATTATCCGAGGGATAAAAAGAAACAGAGCGCAGGGACTAAAAAAAAAAAAAAAAAAAAAAAAAAAAAAAAA